AAAGACAGAAAAGAAAATTACTACCCATCACCATTTTTGTGTGGAATAAGCAGTTTGAAATTTTTGAACGATTGACATTATTCTGTTGCCCTCTCGACTGGAAGGGGAAAAAAAAAAAAGGGAAAAAATAAAAAGAGTATGAAAAGTTCTGTGACATCCTCCAGAGCTGAGTTAGGAAAGTTGGTGCACATTCTGCCTTTTTGTGCCTTTGTACACAAAGAATCTCTGTCAGATGAATCAGGTAAGTAACAACTTACTGCATTTCTCCATTCCTGTGAGGATACACAAGTGACATGAGTGGGATTTTCTTTGTAAGACTCCTGGACAGGATGAAATTCCACAAGCAAAAAGTGTGAGATGCAGATGCTAAAAATAATGCAGACACATTTATATCTATGACTACACTCATCTTCCTACTACCTCATACCTTTCACTTCCTTGTGAGCTTATACTTTGGTTTTCATAACACCTTTCAACTACAAGGCCTTTGACACAAAGACTGTTTCCTCATACGAAGGAAATTTTATGCCTAGCACAACAAGAAGTTGATGCTTAAAGAATCTAAGTGATGCTCTAATATGAAAAACATTAATGTTGGGTCTGATGAGTTGTGACAATGCACAAGTCAGTCAACAGAAAAGATAATTGCTTAAAATAATTTCTTTCCTGTCTTGTGGATTCAGCTTCTGTGCAGAACGGTTCTGCCCTTTGCATATTTTGAAAATATAGTGAATTATACTTGAGAAAACCCTGTGAGTCTTGGGACCAAATCTGGAACAGATATATCACATTCATTGGAGGGTGGGAGGGTGTGTTGGATATCTGCAAGAGCTTGGTTTCTCAGTTTTTAAAGAGACTTTCATCATTATGGCCCAAGAGAAAACAGCCCTATACCTTTTAAAAGTTTTACCTATACCTCTGAAAGTTTGCCTCTGAAAGTGCTGCCCAGTTGTCCGGGTGTCTGATGGCAGGGTGATAAGCTGCCAGAGGAAACACCCTGTAAACATGCAGATTACAATAGGCTTTCTCAGGAGAATGAATATCCATTTTGAGTGGGCCAATGGGAAGATGAAAAAGTGAATGTCAAGATCTCACATGTGGTACAGGCAAGATAGCTACATTGCTGAAACCACAAGAACGAGGGAAGAGCTTATCACTCCAAATGTAATACAGTAACACAACTTTACTTTTCAGCACAATTATGTAAACCGGATGCTTTTAAGCCCCTGATTTCCTCTGGATAATCATGGAGCAGCTGTAGCTAAACAAGGTGTCTCATTATAGAAACTTGTTTAAAAAAATTGCACTAATTACATTTAAGATACAGCCCAGAACTCAAAGTTTGTGTTTTAACACTTGAAACCAAGCAAACTGGGATCTGATTACATGCACTGTCAGAGAAGTGACCTATTCAAACAACATCGCTCTGAGTAAAAGGTAGATAAGCTCAAAGTAGATAATTTCTCATGAAGGATTCAGCACTCAAAAAATCTGTTTCTGATTTTGATTGAATAGAATCTAGAGTTCTTCATCTTTGTGGCACATTGCAAAGTTCACCTCCATTGAAAACCTATGGCAAACCTTTACAGACAGCTTTTAAGGAACCCTGAAAGACACTGTACACTCTAAAGAAGTTCAAATCCTTTCCTTTGGGTTCTGGTGATGAGCACGCAGAACTGAAAACTCAGACATTTCAGACGACTATGCCACAAAGTCAACACATCATCAGCAAATGAGAAAAACCTTAAAAGAGTATGAAAGTACTTGCACACCAAACTACATCTCTTTTATTAAGAGCTTGTTGCTCAGACCAGAAATAGATTTTCAAAGGTGCTACACATCTTGGTAGTTTCAGGAAAGAGAAAACTCAGCTGCCCATTAATGCTCAATTTTTATGTTTTTAAATACAAGGAAAAGTGAGAAAGATCATTCTAGAGAACACATTCAGGGACAAATTATGCTGCTAGGGTTTTAGTAAAGAAGCAACAGGGAATTCAGTGAAATTACAGAGATATACTCAAAGCTAATTTTGGCCTTGTAAATAGAAAAAAGAGAGCCATTTGCAAAGATATTCTGAACAAAATTATTCAATTGAAGCTCAATGAAAAAAGCTACAATAGCATTCAGTATACACTATTGAATGTGTTATACAGAGTACTAGAACACTTACTGTAACAATTGTAAGCAAAAAAAGTACTATTTATGTAGATATTTAAGATGCTTTTGACTTTTTCATTAAATTTTGGTCAGTACTCTAGCGTGACTCTGATCAGACTTCTGTCACACAGAACGATGACGTAAATTATTTACATCTTGCCTTTTTAATATCTATAAAAGGATCTCTCATGTTTACCCAATCTTCCATGATTTAACATAGTCTGACACTTTTTAGCAGGACTGCAGGCTCTATATCACTTCAAAGTTATAATTTACTACCGGTGTGAAAACTCAAGATACAGCAAATGAAAACAAAATAAAGTTGAGGACATAAAAAAAAAAAAAACCAAACCAAAAAAAAAAAATAATTTACTACCGGTGTGAAAACTCAAAAAAAAGCAAATGAAAACAAAATAAAGTTGAGGAAAAAAAAAAAAAAAAACCAAACCAAAAAAAAAAAACAGTTCACTACCACATACTTGTTCTGAAATATACAGAAATTCAATTTTTCAAAATGTGATTTTTATTATTTGAACAAATTATAGTTCACTTGCACAAAATATCTTAAAACAAAAAAAACCCACTTATTTGTAAAAATTAGCACTGTGGTAGTCACATATTAGTTTAGTAAGCAAAAGAGTATATTCAATAACTAGGATGAGAGATGAAAGTAAGGTTTCAGGTTCTGGTCTAAACTATATTACAAATGAGCTATGGAAGCAACTATAAAAGCAGTACAATAGCAACAGTGAGGGTTAATTCAAGTTTCTGAAGAGCTTTGCAGTCTAAGTATAGCTTATGTTAGTAAAGCGAAAAATAAACTCTAGAAAGCATAATATACTTATGGTTACAATCAGAATTATAACCATGCTAGCTGATGGAATGTTAAACAGATGAGCCAGAAACACACACACAACTCCACCCATAGTAAATCCACCCTAATTACTGGTTTATGAACAAGAAAATTCAGATTAAAATTGTTTATAATATTGAAGTAATATTTCTAATACGTACTAGAGAAACAGCATACAGAAACACAGGAACCATAGTCTAGATAGGATTTTTAAAAAGTTATTTACATATTGACAAATTTAGATTAAACCAGAAGATAGCTAAAACAATCTCCTCAAATGTTGTGTATCTAGAGAGCTGTCTACGACAAAAGAAAAAAAGGATACTCAATCTATGCTTTTCTTTTCATTTTGGCTATGGAAAAACAAAGGCAAAAGGACACGAAAGAATGCAAGTTTCAGTTATTCAGCCAAATGTAGTACAGTGAAGATAAAATGGTTTTGTTTAGTCAGGTTTTTGGTTTTGCTTATACAGACTACAGACACTTCAGATCTGTTTTATACTTTCAACATACCAAAGTTCAAAAAGGGTTACACCAAAAGGTCACATCACAGATGCACAGCAGAATGTAACTATTCGTGTAAGAGATGCCTGGTTACATTGGGTCACGCAGAGCTGGTTCTAGAAAACATGGCCATACTGCTACGCCGTGCCGATCAGACAGCAGCACAGCCATGCCTGTGTCTGAGACAAGAATACTGCAGGACCAAACTCACCCTTTGCAGAAAGAGCGGCAACATCTCCCCATCGGTCTGAGATAACCTGCGATCTGTTCTAGCCAATTCATAACAAGACAGTTGACTATGCAGTGGTGTGTACTGAAAAAAGTCTCTAGTTCAAGTAGACTTAGCTTTTACAAAAACAACTGCTTTTGGTTTTAGACCTGAGGAGGCCTGGCTGTGACATAGCCAGTGATAGTGTCCCATGTACCGATGGAAGATTTTTCCTTCAGAGTTTCTACGGCTACAAGCAGCAAATCTTTTAGTGTTATGATCACCACCACCTTCACCACTGGGAAGAAGACAATACACCCAGTTTCCCTCACTTTCTCCAAAAAGAAAGGAGATGGTAAAGAAACTGAGTGGTGTTTAGGTGCAGTTCTCCCAGACAAATGCTGGGAACAGTCCCTCTCAGGATTTAAAGGACTCTGGCAAGAAATTAAGAAATCCAGGCTCTGCCTAGCTAGTTGCAAACACAGTTATTGATGAGAAGTGCCAAAAATTATGAACTAAGGATTTATTTTTTTTTTAATTAAATATATGCCCAAGTCTCCATAAGTTAGCAAGACTTTCATCAAGAACACAAAATGATCAGCTAGAAAAGAACAAAATTTTCTTGGTTTACTGGAAGAGTTTCCCATACTAGCCAGAAGTAAGATAAAACTTGCAGGTTTGGTTTTTTTTCCCTGTGCTTGTTTATATGATGAAGGTCATTTTATTTTAAGGAATTTCAACTCTTCATTAGATGTAGCAGTCTATGAATTCCGCTGGGGAGATCCGAGGTCTGGTTAATTCCTTTTGCCAACCTGTTGTCTCACTGAGCCACAGTGATGTGTAGCAAAATCAATAGAAAATTACAAATACATAGAACTCCCAGATCTTCATGGTCATTTAGATTGTTCTTGTAGACTCACAAGATAATACCAAAATTCAGAGACAAAACATTTCATTTTAACTGGTATGGAAGTCAGGTAACCCTTAAAAAAAGTTTCTCTGCCAGGTGAAAACCAATCAAGTCATCACACTAGCTTTAAAGTCATCCAATTTCCTCAAACACCTTTGATCTATTTCGGTGTTCTGTTACTAGTCGACTGCTGATGAAGAAATATGCAAAATGCAGAACTGACAATGAACAACAGAACCTTGTCCTCCCTAGACACAGACACATTACAGACTACAGCAGGTCATGGGAAAAGTTAAGTCAGTTCTCAATCTCATAATACACAAAATCATGAATTCCAAGAGCAAAAAAAACTAATGCGTTCTGCTTACCTGATATGGAACAATACTCCCATGAGCAGTACCCCAGCGTTTTGCTTCAAGTTTGCAATTAAGGTAATTAGCTGCTATATGAGTGAGACATGCAACCTGGAAATGGAGAAGAAGCAAGTATTCAGGAAAGCTGATACTTCATTGACAACTTCTCTGAGATTTCTGTCTATTTGTATGTGCTTCAGATACATAAGTTAAAATATTTATGTCACAAAAGTGTCCTTTATATATAACATATTATGTATACTTTTTTTAATATGAAAAAATTCAGGCTATATCTATATCATGGAAGTGCTTATATAAGTACAACTCCATAAACTCAAAAAAATATATGCCCTATAACACTAGTAACGCTAGACAAATCTAGCATTAAACTACCCTAAGAGATAAAACAGTATTACTCTAAATATTTTGCAAAATGGTCAGCTGCAGCAAAGAAAAAAAAAAAAAAAAAAAAAAAAAATCAGTGTCTTGTCCAAAGTCTAGTGGGAAGCATGATGGATTTGTGGGATAGAACTTACCATTTCCTGAACCTCAATCCCATACTTAAATCACAAAGACTTTTTCTCCATTACAAAACTATCTTTCTGTTTTCTCCTATGCTTCTCATTTTACATGCCCAAGCTATGGAAAATACTTCTGAATTCTTCAGCTCCCCACATGCTCTGTAATATTAATTAAGTGGTAAGCCTTGATAAATCATCTGCCAGTAGAAGATAAGGAGAGATTTATCAAGTTATTAGTCGGACAGACAAAACTGGAAAAAGATTAATTCTGTGAAAAATATGGCATGCTAATTTAGTAACCATAATTTGAGGGGATAAATATACACTTTGTAAGCACAAATATATCTTAGGAAAAAGAAGTGATGCAGTAATGCATGAAAATCAGTGGTTCTCTTATAATCAATGGCAGGTTCTTTATTCTTATTTCTTCAAGAAAATACAGTGTGTAACTATATCTGAAGCCAAGTAACACGAGAAAGCATTACAGTTAGTATGCAAGGTTATCACTGATTCACCAGACACAATACATTTGTTAACTAGTTGTGCCAGTAAGTGCAACTGCTTGCCTAAACAATAGGCCACATGACCTTTTTTTTCAAGAAATATTATTTTCTTCATATTTCTCCCCTAGATGGAAGAAATTTGCTATGATGATCCAAGTGTTTACAGTATTCTGTGCATACTAATGAGTCTAATCTACATCAAAACATGCAGTAATTAATTCAGAGTCCACCATTCACATTCCAATATGTGAATTATATCAGAATATCTAGAAAAAGAACGCCATTTCATTTTCTTCTCCTTTCTCCATATATGCTGAAAAGGCAATGTGAATTTATCACCCACATTTAAAGCAAATATTTAACTAAATCATGGATACAGTGATTTAGCTCAGCAGAAAACCTAGGAAAATATACAGAAAATAGGAATTTAATTGCTACCAAAAACTATATCCATATATACTAACTACAAATACAATGTCTTATTCCTGAGTACTTATAGAAAACACTTTGTAGTCGGATTTCAGCTGCAGCTTATTATAACCCACTGTCACTTCATTCAGCTAAGATGTTGAACAATGTCTAGTCTGTCCGTCAGTCCCCAGGAAAATCTCAGCAATTAAGCAAATGGATCTGGGAGTATGTAGAAAGGACTTTTTCTTCTGGTTTGCAACTTTCCTCAGCAACACAGAACAAAACACACCGTTATTACAGAGAGAGTTTAATGAGTCACAAAAGTGTGTTATTTATTAATAACACATACCCTAGACCCATCATTCCTGTCATTTTTCAATTTGATATTTTTTTCTACCACAGCAAATGGCTATGCAATGATGATGAAATATTAATCATTAGATATTCTTCTGTATTTGTGTGTAACACTACACAGCTGCTGTATTCCACACAGATTTCACTGGCAGCTGAGATGCATCCACCACAACAGGCTTTTACTTTTAAAGAAACAAGAATGCCCTCTGTGATACATGCATTTAACTTTTCACACTTCTGGAAGGAAACGCTATGCCAAACTTAACTCTGGGAAGGACACAGTGAATTAAAACCTAGTGAAACAGAAGTCCTAAAATATTGATTTTTAATATAACAGAGCCAAGATTTCATTCCATTTATTTGTTTATATTCTATGCTGTAAAAATAGAGCTATGAGTTTCATAAACAAAAAATCTTCGCAACAAGTTTCACAAGAAAACTTCTATCCTTAAAAAAAAAAAAATTAACAGTGTGTTGCAAATTACTTCAGCTTTCTCAAAGAAATGAATATAATTCTTTTAATGGTGGAAGACATACACATCTTGATTTCTCCAAACCATTTGTTCACAGTACCACAGGAAAAAAAAAAAGAATTAAAACGTAATACTCGCTAGATGCTGGAATTGCACCACTAAAGTTTCTGCTCAAAGACTTGTTTCAGTAGCTATAGGCAGCAAACACCAGGGAAGTCAGAAGCTTAGTAAAGACAGCAATTTTGGAACTAGAAGTTGCTTAGACTATATCAAGGCCTCAGTTCAACAGGATACTTAGTCTGAACAATTCCATTTCAGTCAAGGTACCAATCCCTTGCTTGAATGCATATGCCTATGTATCCAGCTGAAGCTGGTTTACTTATTATTGTTTTTTCAATAAATTGTGAAGGAAAAAGGCTTTTGGTTCCCTTTGACTTCCTTCTCTGAGTTAATTTTTTTTTTCTTATTCTTTGTTTACTTTTTCTTAAAGTAGGCATGTCATGTAGACTATCTTTTAGGAACTCTGAGACACAGGTGTTTTACAGCAGCACAGATAACTTATTTTACACTATACTACTGAAGTAGTAACACAAATATTAATTTATAACTTGTATAAAAAAAATGAATGAACTTGTTCCTAGTCAAATCAGCCAGCCAAAAAGAATTAGTTGTTGTAGTAGCAGTATCATCATCATCCAAATAAACTTATATTGACCACATCAAAGTAAATATTTCAGTGCTTTGTGTTTTATGCATAAAGACACTTAGTTGAGTGTGCTCTGTGGCCTTTTGCCCCTTTCATAATAGCTCTCTGATGAATTCAGCAGACTTAAAAGATGATTCTATTTCTACTGTCCCATGAAACTGTTATAGACAGTCCCAGGACTACCGTGCTTTTCCCTTTCCTCTCTTCCTGGCTCAGTTCATTCTCGCTGGTCTCTCCAAAGATACACACTCACTAAAAGGGCACTATCCAAAAAAATCTTTCAGCATATGCATTTTATGTATAGAGGGTGGTGAGGCACTGCAACAGGTTGTCCAAAGAGGTTGCGGATGCCTCGTCCCTGGCAGTGTTCAAGGCCAGGTTGGATGGGGCCCTGAGCAACCCGGTCTAGTGGGTGGCCTCCCTGCCCATGGCAGGGGGGCTGGAGTTAGATGATCTCTAAGGTCCCTTCCAGCCCAAGCCATTCTACGATTCTATGTCCTTAATAAAGAACACACAGAATTTATCTACCTATACCTTACAGTTGTTAAGCAAACTGCTGAACTATAAGCATAAAAAAAAAGATATCCTAAATGAACATTTCTACAGACATTATATCCCCTAAAAAATGGTTTTAACAAATAAGTCTATTTCTCCAAATTCCCCTGTAATTCAAAACTCAGGACTTCACTGCTAGAGACATTTTTTGCAGTAGGAATATCTATAGTACAATCAATGTCTCAAAATGAAGTTTGGGTACATCTGTATTACATATTCAGTTAAGTATTTTTAAATCTATACTTAAAACTGCGTTCCTGAAACCTTATAGACCCATTTCTTTTCTCCTTTAATTAAGAACTAATCCTTAAAAGTAACCTTTGGACTTGTAACATTAAAGCAGATGTAATACAATGATACAGACATCTCTGTATTCATTTGCTTGCAGAGACAGATCTATGCACTGTAAATACGTATTATCAAATATCTACAGATAAGTATTTCTTTATTTCACATCAATAAAGGGAACACACACTTCAGCATTCCTTTCTGATATTACTGTTGACGGCCAAATCGCATATTTGTGTTACATACATACTTAAACCAGAACAAAAAAAAAAAAAGAGCTGCATTAAGGTCTGAAAAGTTATGCTCAGCTTATGATGGAATCAGACAGATGGGAAACAAGATTTTAAAAGCCACAAGGTGAGCAGACAAAGAGAAGAGACAGAATTTCAAAAGATTTTTTTCAAGATAGCACATCAAACAATTTATTACAGTGAGTTCACTGAGTCAATCAATCATTTACATGCAAGTTCAACAAAATGTATATGAATAACAAAAGAAGACAGGTACCTGGAAAGAGGAGAAAATAACATTTTAATTATATTCTTTACTTTCTTCTCCCTCCAATTTTGTGTCCGCTTTCCTGACACGTATCTTAACAAGGCTTTAACTCTTAGCCAAGTTAATTTTTTTTTTTCTCATTCTTTGTTTACTTTTTCTTAAAGTAGGCATGTAGACTGTCTTTTAGGAACTTTGAGACACAGGCGTTTTGCAGCAGCACAGATAACTTATTTTACGCTATACTACTGAACTAGCAACCCAAATATTAATTTATAACTTTGTAGAAAAAAATCATCCTGGAAAATTTCAGTGCCTTCTGCTGTGCAAAGGCCAGCAATCTTCCACTTACAACTTTTCCATACTTCTGGTGACATGGAAAAAAGATCTTCACATGAGAAAAATTTGACCATAAGACCATAATCCTCATCTGGTGTACACAACACAGCTCTCAAAAATCACTGATCCTATGCTGGTATTTACCTAATGACCAATTTTACTGTTTTACATGTTCTCCCCTTTCCACGTTGCAATAATAGTTTGACATTAATAAATCAACATTCAAGTTTGATTAATCTTGCTTTTGCAATTACCCCTGTCACCGTTCTCATTTGTATATTTGTATTGAAGCTGTTTCCATGGATGCGTGCACGGTGTGACCCTCGGCTCTTGCTTCTTGAGTGTTTGGGTTTTTTTTTTCATTTAAAAAAAGAAATCAAATCCAAACCCCTCTATCTCTACCAAGAAAATCCCCAAAGCTTAATGAGAGTAGAAATAAGTTCTTAGCTGTCTGCAATCACCTCCA